GAGGGGGGGAAGATTGAGAAATAAAGAAGCTATATAGATGTATCGGAAAGTTCAAAGAGTTTTACTTATAAGTATTTAGAATTACACGTTTATATAAGAACATTCGATAGTTATTTGTTCATATTTTTGTTTACCATACACTTACAACTTGTGATTGGGAATTAGAACAGGTTTTAACCTTGAACATGTTATGTACATTGTGAGATATCCGCTACATAAAAATGCAATACAGATGTCCCTGAAAGATACCGTACATGTACAAATCGTCTTTATCGCTCTATTTTATCACCAAATATATCTTAAACTAATCCGGGTAAAGTATCAACAAGGAAATTGTCTGCTATAAGGTCATCAGGGGGATTACGACAATATTACTTTTAAACTTACAGGTAAATTTAACAACGTCGACTTAATGCATTAATAACCTGAACAAAAAAGAAAGTTCACCCCATTTTTCTCGTTTTTTATCTTCATGACATTTTTCTCTTTTATTCACTTAAAAATGTATGTCAATCCAGAAATCTGCATTTCTAGAACAGGATACAGATACGCTGTACAATTTCCTTGCAGATACTGTAGCAACAAAAGGAAATCCCGATTTCAATATTCCACATGTTTGTTTTCCTTTTGGATTGATGTTGGATCCTTTGGGGGAAAAACAAGAATGATCTTAAAAATAAAATGCTATAACGTCTTAATTTTCAGATGACTTTTACCGCGGAATGATTAAAGTAAAAAATTCATTTATGAATCACTACGCTCACAAGTACAACTGGCGTTAATCGAGGGATGATGGATGAGTGAAGTCACAATTAAATCTATAAATATTGATGCATTAGCTAAGTGTGATTCTATGTGAATGTTTTTCAATAGACCAGCAATGAAGCAATGTCTTTCAAGTAGATGTTGATCAAGTCACCTTCGGTCTTTGTAGATATTCCAGCAGTCATTTGTTTTGCTAAGGACCAGTCGTTTTTATCACTTCTAATTAATAAAAAAAGTAATAGGATATAAACAATATATTTCCCGATCGCCTGCATGAAGTAACTAACGGAAATTTTCCTTAGAAAATAGCCGAAAACCCCCCAACATGAAATGGTACAATATTTCATTCATGTAGAAAATCGATTTAAAATGTCAACATGGTGAATACCGATGTGTCAATCAAAGTGCAATTCGAAATCGAAATCGATAAAATTAGGGCAAAGTATGAACAAACCGATAACTTACAAGAAGACCACTGAAAAGATTAATAGGAGTTAAGACCAGGTTTCCAAGAAGGTAAGAGTGTCGTCTGCTTCATTGACAACACTCGCTATGTAAATCTAGGTAGAATCCAAGCAATGTCACGAACGGGTTCATCCATCTCAAAATATCCTTTCAATCCCTGTCATACAATATCACTACCACTTCTTAACCGACCAGTCAAAATTGTTTTGCATCAATTATAAAAGTATATCTTTTTCTCCCCGGTACAATAATGATAATGACAGTGAATGAGGACAACTTAAATTGTTTTAAGGGCAATGGAACAGCCACGGTAGATAGGGAACCTAGGCTGTCTGAGCCAGGCTATCTAATTAATCTTACAATTTTGTATGAAATAAGAAGTAATATTTGTATAAACATGCATCAAATACATTTGTCATTTCCCTGCAATTCCATTCCATTTCACCTTTCTTCCTGCCATCCCTTAGTTGGGACTTGATTGCCTTTCTTTTCGTCTTTTCGCCCTTCTCTCCAGTGTGTCCCAACTCTCTCAAATCCTGGCTATGTCTCCGTGTGTAGCGATCTTGAGTACGTGATGTCTGCCAACTGCTGTTCAAAAGTCTCTTGCTCTTTACACAAAGAACATGGAGGTGTCTTAACGTAATTTGTAGGTACAACGGTTAAGTGTCGTTGACAGATCGCATTGGGAATTTCAACTTTGGTGGTGAATAATGTCAGATGTTAGTTTCTGCTCCTTCATATAGCATCTAGTCCATCCACCCTGACAACCTATCTCAACAGGTTTCAAGGTTTCATTTTTCTAATCTCAAACTCCTGGATTCTGATCTCCTTCTGAACAGAGATGCGTTTCTTTTTGTGTTTGAGTATATATATTTACAGTTTATGTATCAAATACAGTGGTCGTTTTCCTTCACTTTTTCTTCCTTTCTGATGATTTTGTAATTGTTTTTATCAGTTACAATAATACATTTGTATTATCACTCTCCTACATGTGTTATATTTACATATCTGAACACTATCTTATTTTGTTTGAAGTTGTTTTCCATCATGGTAAACATTTAGTAAGAAGTCCCTGCCGACGAGTCTTTTGAATGATGTAAATGAGTACTGAAAAATGACGTCATAGCATCTCAGTTCTCGTGAAGCCCGCTGCTGAAGTCGCTGACGCTACTGCTGTCGCGCAAGCTCTCATTCGACCATTTTCCTCAATACTTGACTTGGGTGGTACGTAACCAGTGTTGTGTTGTTGCACTGGAGTTCATAACAGAATTCAGTTTAAAAAATCGTCTATCTATCTGTTTAATCTATAAAGATCTTGACATGTGTATGATTTTTTAAACAAAGCAGATACCAGCAATCTCTTGTCATACGATACCCGACTTCAAATACATGTACACACCTTTTAATCTTACAGTGCATTTCACATGTGGGACGGGTTAACGTTATAACCTGCATACAGGTAGCTCAAATCGGTGCAATGCAACCTATCTGCATATAACTAGCTAGTAACATGCGTTATAAACTCTGTATAAAAGTCACGAAAAGGGTAAAAGGTTTGTTACATAACTTGTCTACATGCTACTAAAATGTATGTAAAATTTGCTCTTCCCTTTTTCTGCGACATGACGTCACAACCTATGCAGTTTGATTTTGTCATTTTTTGTATACGCTCCGTTATTTGTTCCGAACCTCTAGCGCTCTTTCCGCCCGTATCACGTCCGTTCGTCAGTAAAACAATTGTTTATTCTACAACTTCCTGACTTTATCAATCTAAGTCAAAAGTTAACATAATGAAGGGGATGTTTTTCCCCTCGCGTACCTGACTAGACATATCACTTTCAAATCGTGTTAGTAACTATGTAAAGTTTGACATTCCAGTGCTACAAGGAAGTGCTGTATGTGAAAATTCGTATCTAATTCAGAGATGCTACTTGATTTTCAAACTTTTAAGGATCTGACTGTTTTTCAAAGAATGTTATATCATAGTTACTTAAAAATGGCGGTAAAACCCCTACGACGTCAGAAATTGACGTGACCGCCATGGTAAGTGCCAATCAAAAGAATCATCGTGTGAGTGATGCTTATATGGTTTTAGTGGGAAATCCTGAGTCAGCACCTTGAGAAAATGCTTGACTAGATGCTCATAACTCAGTATATGTACATACACTAATCTCCCATGTCGGTGATGTAACCTTCCTTTTTCGATCAGGAAATAATAAAGATTTTTTAGGCAATAAATGCGCGCGAATGCATGTTCTATTTATCCCATTTGCCAAAAAAAGAACCCGTTGTTAGAATTACAGCGAATGCACCACAAATACATAGTGAATGCGTTATATGATATGTTCTTGTTTGAACTCGACCCGAATTTCGGTTTTTCGAAAACTCTATACAAAGCAGAGTTTTAATGTCTGTTGTTTGTTATTACAGTGCCTACGGGCCCCTTTACTTAGCTGTGTTCGACTACCGACTACGAACACTACAATTACTGTATAATGTATTGTAAATATGTTTCTCTATACATTGTATTGTGAAAGAGAATAATTCTACAGCTGAATTGAATTGAATGGATTAAAAACTTTTTTCAAGGAGAACCTATTGTGTGGCTGTATAGAACTGATGTGTATATCTGTTTGGAGAAATGTTATCTTTCAGACCGAGAATCCCGCCTTATTAAGATTAAATGTAGGTAAACGTTTCTTTCTGTATTTTTCGGTCTTCTCTGGGTTTTTTATCGTTGAGAGCGCACCGACAATTAGATCGGGGTGTTTTGAGTTCATTACCTGTATATACAATTGTAAAGTAAGTGTGGCTATGAACCATACTGCTTCTACTACCCATGAAGCGCGGCATGGTCACGTGACTTCTTGTGTTTAAAAGATCTGTGTCAGGTTAATGGGTATAATATCGACCTGTTCATATTTCATATATACGTGTTATACATTATGCAGATGATTCCCTAATAAGATACTGTATAGATTCGTAACATTTATTAAAAATAGTGGAATTGATTGTCCAACAAAATGTGAAAATACATTGAATCATGAAAAGATCAACAAATGCACTGTAAACTGGTGTTTTCCTCGTTGTTTCACGTTGTACCGAACTAACAAATAGATAGACATATTTCTTTATATCCTCTCGGTAAAGAAATTATAAATATTGCATCAACTAATACACAATATTAGAACATATTTACATGCTAGTAATTAAAGAGAAAACAGCACTGTTCATTTGCCTCGACACTGCAAGATTCACATTTCGTTAAATTGTTAGCTACTACTGTGTATGTATAAACAAACACCAGATATTTTGTATTTCATTTACACAAGATATATATACGCTA